AGGCATAAGCATCCACAAAATAATCACTCTCTGGCCCATATATATGCACCACACATGCTGCTTTGTAAGCTAAGAGCTGCAAATCACCTGTTTAAAAAATAAGTATAAAAAGAAGATTTATATTTTTCAGCTATTCTGGCTAAACCAATGCAATAGAAAAATATAAATAAAAACTCTGCCATTCAAATCTGAAGATATTCATCGTCTACGTATTCTCAATGGAATTTTAATAATTAGAATCCTTTGCACAAAGAAGTTAACATAATAATAAATAAATAAATAAAGAATTCTTGCTAAAGGTTGTATTCTTCTAGATGAGATAATTGTACACACTCAACAAAACTAGAAGACTATTTAGATGGATGCAGCTCCTAGAGATAAAGTCAAGCACGAGTCCATCAGGGTCTGAATTATACATTAACCAAGTCCAGATTTGGTTTATGTATACTCTAATTTAACACAAAATCCTTAAACGGCACATTAACAAGATCCAATCACCTAGCCACCAACCCAGTGAAGAGTAAGGGCAGAGTGTAAGGTTTTAGGTTTCAATCCACAACCTTCAAAATCACCCTTCTATTTAGGGGAAAAAAACTAATAACTCAAACAAGTTTAGAAATGAAATCATGGCACAAGTAGAGAAACTGGGACAACTTCTCGATTGAATTAAAAATAGATACCTGCTGCAATCTCTGAGGCCAGTATGTTATGGCTGAAATGACGTGTACACCACCATCTGCAGCGAAGTCTCCAACTCTCCCCAGATTTCCCCTCTATAAACATTTTGGGGGTCTTGTTGAAACAAACGGAGTAGCGGTCTTTATGTCCTTTTTCATGGCCATTCAGACACACAGACATTCGGTCCTCTTCATACTGAGAAAGCTTTAGGAAACATAAAGCAAACTCTCTCCATGTGTTGTAGTCTGCATAGGTGGCATCTAAATGCAAAGCTATCATTTCCAGTAGGGACTCAGAACTATATTCTTCTGCAAAATATCAGAAGAGAGCAACAAGAAAGAATTTATAGCTTGAAAAATTAAAACTTGCAGTTTAAATTCTTGTTAGCTAAAAGGATTTCCAAACTATAACTGCTTTCACATATATTTTATTTCTGAAAATCTAATATTTTCATTAATAGTTTCTCCTCATAAATTGTAGTTTGTGCAAGTTTCAAAATGAAATTAATCACAAAGTTAGAGAACAGTAACTTTAAAAATAAAAATAAAAACAAAACAGAACAGAAGGACTACAGTCAAAGGAAGGGGATGTGTAACACCCAAGTTATTAAAATCATATAGCCCAAAAACTATTTTCATTAATAGTTTCTCCTCATAAATTGTAGTTTGTGCAAGTTTCAAAATGAAATTAATCACGAAGTTAGAGAACAGTAACTTTAAAAAAAAAATTTAAAAAAAAAAAAAAAAAAAAAACAGAACAGAAGGACTACAGTCAAAGGAAGGGGATGTGTAACACCCAAGTTATTAAAATCATATAGCCCAAAAACCAAAGAGATAGAGAGACAAAGGATTCCTAGGAATTTAGGAAATAGAACCAAGTTTACTGCCCGTGACCAAAATACCAATTTTGCACTTTCATCTGAGATTTTACAACCTTGAAAACTTGGAAAGAAAAAAAACCTCATAAGTTCCGCATCAGAATGATTAGAAACCAAAACTTAATCTGACAACCAAGGAAGCATTCATTATATCAATAATAGAGAAGTTGGTATGTTGGGAATTCTGGTCATGCACATCATAATAGAAAACTTGGTTTCATTTCCTAGAATTTGGTTCTCAAAAGGATTTTAACAATTGAAACCACAATAAAAACTTATATATTTTCTACACACACACAAAATATATATATATATATATATATATATAATTCACAAGTAGAAAGCAGAAAATCAAAGGCTATATGGTCATGACGTTTCTTAAAGTAAGATTACAAAATTTCCGAACACATAGAGACTAGGGGTTTGTAAACTTAAACAAGGCATTGCTAAACAGGCTCTTTCAGAAGGTTTAGAAGATAGAAATTGGTCAATGCTCCATTAACTGAGATTAAAGAGAGCCAAAGAATTTATAAGATCACTCCTCATATCTTTAGTAATCACATGAACGAGAAATATCTATTGTAACCACATGAAGGCGAAATTCTCAGTATGTAGTGTTAACTATCTGTCTGTTTGCAAGAATGATGGATTTACTCTCACAGATTATGTATAGGATCAAATTGCGAAAAATTGTGTACCACTTTGATGCAGGAGAACAAGCTTTGCCAATGAATCACAACAGGTTGGATCATTCTTTAAGATATCCTCAAAACAAGTAGAAAGCAGAGCGCTGTTGTAACGATCAAATTGCTCCAGAAGACTAGCCCTTAATCTGCCGAACACGTATGCATTACAGCTTTATTACCACTTGATAGGTAAGCATTAATTAACTAGAGTAGCAAAATTTCTATCCCACAAGCATAACTAAAAAAGTTAACCAAGTATTCGGTTTATTGGAATGAACCTTGGAATAGAATGCACATTCACCCAAAACACAAAGGAGGAATGACCATCCTATAAAATTTCATTCCCTTAAAAGCAAGAAGAAACTATCATTTACCTTTTACCCCATTATTTTTTGGATCGATCTAGTAACATTCTCTTTCCTAAGCATACTATTATTAATTTTCATTCATGTATTGTGTTTTCTAACTTCTCTATTGAATTCACTCTCACAATCAGACATAAGAACAAAATTGGCAAGGAATCAGTACCGAATATGCAGAGCTGTGTTTGAGTTACAACAGTAGTCAAGCTCATTTAGGGCCTCTTTAACTTGACCTCCAATCAGCAACAGCTGCCACAAAAAGAAAAGCCTAAGAAGAGAGTACTTGAGTTCTGGTAGGGTACCATAAGCTATAACTATATCAGGTGGTGTAGTGGTGAATGCTCTTTTAATTACTCTTGTTTTTTATATATTTTCTAAGAGAAGCCTTGATGCACGAGCATCTACGAAGCTCTCTAAGATTACTTAGGCCCATCAGTC